TGTGTCCTAGCACCCTCATGTGTCTTCTGGTTTTCCCCATTTGCCCCTAGATCTCCAGCCCTCTAGGTTTCTCAAGTAATTTCCTTCAGTTACAGCCTTTCATGATTTAGTATGTTTTTTCCCATCAGTGTTTATTATTTTTCTCCCCCCTCCCTTAGAATTGTGGTTATGTTTCCTGCTCTTTTGTATTAAGTTTTTATTCTTAGGTCAAGTTAGTTTCTCCCCTGATTAGTCATTGCCTTCACCTGGTCCTCCTCCCACACCCCACACACCTGCAGCTCATCTCTCTCTCATCCTCCCTGTGTATTTAAGCCCTGTCTTGTCTCAGTGTCTTGTCGGTCCATTGTTTGTATTCTGTCACATTTGTTCTTGCTCTTGGTGAGCTTTGTTTCTCCTGCATTGGAGTTTTGGACTTTAGGCTTGCTGCCTTTTGGATTTATTTTTGTTCATCCTCAAATAATAGGATTTTTTCTTTATATCTACTCGTGTCCTCCTGGGTATCTGCATATTTGGGTCCTAAACATCCTCGGAACGTGACACAAACTAGATTTACTAAAACATCCCTAGCTAGGAAGGCTGAGGCGCTTTAGTAACACACTTCAAGAACATCAGCTTGTCGTATTAAATCATCAGCATGTTGTTGCCATCTTGCCCAGATGCATCGATTATGTGTATTTACCTGTGCATGTGACCAAATGCCTGTGCCCACGCTTTTACTGCATGCATTTGTGTGTCCGTGTAAGTTTTAATGACAACTACTTATATTTAGAGCCCACTTACAGCACAGCCTCTTTTACCGAGACGTTAAGTGCACATTCGAATATGCAGCTTGTTTGACTCCCCCCGTCCGAGCACCAGCTCAGCTTTTAGGAAATGGCTTTCTCATGTCTTTGGTGACATTGCCCTTCCATTATTAAGAGAGCTGAGGAGAACTGCTTTGTCATTCCTAGCATTGTGATTCCCAAATTACTGAAACAGTGCCCCATATTCTTTTTAATGAACAGACAAAGATGGTTAAGTAGGAGAGAGGCAAAGAACACACTGCAGGTCTTAAGACCATTTAAACAGAAACTTGCAGGGGAAGTTGTGGATAGTGTTTGAAAAGCCCAAGGGGGATGTTGCCACTGGATGATCCTCTGTACTTTAAACCAAGACAGGAATATCCTGGTACCCTCTTGAACTTCAAAATTGCTTAAAAGTAAAAATGGGCTCCTAACTCAGACGAGAAAAGAAAGTTTCTTTTTCTCTCCAATGGTATTCTTGGTGTTCTACTTTATTAATATCTGTTTCATTTTGATCCCATAAAGATTTGAGTCTTTAGATGGCCAAGATGGCGAGTCTATCGAAGACTCAATGGCTCAAATATATGAATGCAGCAAAACAGAAGAATTACGCAATATTATCCTGGAAATCAAACATTAAACCATTCCAACAATTACAATAACAAATGTATTCCTTACCACAATACTTTAAGAACTGTTTATTATTGTCATTATAAATGATGGCTCAACAAAAAACCTGGGAGCAAGCGTAACATTTCAGAGGAAGCTTAAGAAATTTGGAAATCAATGTCACATGATTTATTTACATGAAATAATTTTACATTGTCAAATCTCAAAAGATATTAAAGGGATACTTTACATTTTTTATATGTTTAAATCATTTTCTTGAGCCAATATGTGTTAAAATGACCCCTTACAGGGTTAATGAAAATTCACTCAAACCCCTCCTGTGGCCAGAATATTCCTCTTGCAACTTCAGACTGGCGGACCGCTCTGTTGGGACTTTAAAAAATGACTTTATTGGCCCGTCGCAATTGAGGCGGGAAGGCACTTCATTGTCTCCTGAGCAAAGGGGGAAAAAATGCAGTCTGCCTCCAGCGAATTTAAGTTAACGTTAAATTAAAGTCCCATTAGTTGTCACACACACTGATGTGTGTGCAAAATTTGTTCTCCGCATTTGACCCATCCCCTGGGGGAGCGGTGAGCCGCAGACCCAGCCGCCCTCGGGAATTATTTGGTGGTTTAACCCCCCAATCCAACCCCTTAATGCTGAGTGTCAAGCAGGGAGGCATTGGGTCCCATTTATTCAAAGTCTTTGGTATGACCCGACCAGGAATCGAACTCTGATCTCACAGTCTCAGGGCGGACACTCTACCACAGTGGTTCCCAAACTTATTTAGCCGCGCACCCCCTTCTATGTCCCAACCATGTCGACGCACCCCCCCCCCCCCAGCCCCCACATCGGGGCATGGCTCTATGTATATATATTAATATATATATATCAGATGTCAAGCTAAACAGAAAGGGTTAAAAAAAATTCCCCATCACTTTCATTTTTTAAATAGTAATTAATAAGCATTCGATACCATTACAATTTCCTTTGATTTCATTTTGAATAAATATTTAGAGTGCCCAGGTAGCACATAAACAATGCAATTTAACGGTTTTCTTAAAGTAGGAACGTTTAACCTGTGCGGCCAGAGCGCTCTCCTTCCTTCTGCTCTGCGTAAACCTGAGCTCATCACCTACGTGTGCGTAATCAAATGTCGATAGGGGACAAGATATAGCCATGAGGTTCACTTTTACCTCAGACCGACTTATTGCTGTTTTATGGTGTGGCTGAATCTGCGATCCGCTGTCATGCGGACTGGAATAACAAATGCTGCAGTGGACTTGTGGTCAGGTTCATGAGGAGTCACTGGCTGGAGTGGACCCGACTCATCCCAGAAGCTAATATCTTAATTTGACCTTGAATGAAAAATAACCTCTTAAAAGTTTTTATCACGGAGGAGGCAGCGTTCATTTCTGCCTTCAGTCTGACGGCGCGCTGGAGTTAAAGCAGCGTGTGCGCTTATTGAATCTGTGTGTGTGTGCGCGCGCGCACGTGCGCGCGGCACAGCCGTTCAAGTCACCGCGTCTCGCGCTATTTAAACCAGTGTTGTAAAATGACTTCTGCCCAGCCCAGATGTGCTCACTTGTGCACCCGTGAGCCGTGGTTCTGCCGGAACGCGTCTGACCTCTGACAGACGCACTCTGAACTTCAGATCTTCAGCGCGCTGTTAATAGCCTGGATGGGAATCATTTCTTGTTATTTAGTTACATCCACGATGTTCTGTGTGTGAGGTTTACAACGTCAGAACACCTGCATGAGACAGGGTGTTAATTACAATCTGCCAGAATGACTCACCGCCTTCAGATTTCTCCAACACCGTTAAAAATGATCAAATACGGAACATATCGGCGTGCGCAGGCCAGAGTGCTGAAGCTCAGCGCATTGTTATTATGAAGCTAGGGCACATGCGGAGGACACGCGCGCGCAAAAATGTACTTGTTTTCAATTACATTTATTGTGCCCACTTACTTTTTCTTTGGCCCACCCACAAATGAGTTTCTACGCTAATGGTGACATACGACAGACTTCTCTGAGCTCCGCAACCATTACACTTTTCACCTCACGCACCCCCTAGCGGCAGCTCGCGCACCCCCAGGGGTGCGCGCACCACACTTTGGGAATCCCTGCTCTACCACTAGGCCACTGAGCTTGTTTTTGTTTTCTGCATGCTTTAGATCATGAACACAGCTGATTTGTTAAATTTAGTGACGAATCACTGCTATAGACACTAAGGAGGGCTAGGAGACATTTCAGCTGTTAAGCCTGATTTATACTTTCTGTGAGCTCTGCAACGGAAAGACGCACACGGAGTGTTGCAAAGTGAACTTTAAATTTAAACCTGTAAAGGCACTTTTGTTCTGACAAATCTATGAATTAATAATTTGTTAAAATTCCAAAGTTCTCGTAGATTCTCGTTATAAAATATCAGAAAATACTTTTTCAATTCAAATAAAATCACAGGATTGGTTTTTCATCCATCCCTGTTCTGGTCTGCTTAGTCCTGAGTAGGTTATTTTCTTATATATATTACCATATTAAATATATATTTTTGTTTTTTACTATTCTGTTTCTAACGAGTTTATTAGTGAGAGAAGCATAAGACACTGTGTCATATATAAGTATTTTAGAGTGTGACATTTAATGGAGGTCAGGTTTAAATGATGCATCGTACGCTGTAAGCTGTAGCACTCAAGCTGACAAATACTGTTCAAATCTTTTTAACATTGTCGATAACAGTGTCGGTATTTTAGCAGTCAGCCTCTCAGGGCCAGGGCCTCAGCTGATCAATTAACAGTATGTGTCTGCTCCAGCTTCAAACCCTCCGAATTTTGGGTTTGTTATGAGAAATGGTCCCTCTGCTCTGGGCTTCTAAAGAAAGTAATTACACTGAGAGACTTTCTGTGGGGATTAAAACAAACGACATTAAAACAAAAAGAAAAAACATCTCTCCTTTAGCGCCGCTTGCTATGGCCCTGTCTCCACTCCAAAGCCCCAGCATGAATAACGCCTACACGCTGGTGAATACGGACGTTGTCACAGTAAAACACACTGGCAGACTGGTGGAAAACAGCAGGGATGAATGGGTAAAAGAGTCAGAATTATATAGGAAAAGATTTATGAACATGCGACGCACGGTTTAGCATCGGGTGCTAAACCAAACGTATGGCATTCGAGCATTGGGCAAGGATGGTGTTTGTCCTGCCAGTTTCATAGTGGTGGCTGCAGGGGGCATTACTCATCGTTACAGTCTCTGCTGGCAGCCTATTTTCATCACATTACAGATGTATGATGAAGCCTCTTCCAGTTCTCTCTGTAGTTCACCATCGGCACCAGCCGGGAGCATTCATCCAAGTGGCTTTATGGAACTCTGCATTTAGTTTACTGTATAATTAATCCATTACTGCACAACAAAACATGCAGCAGGAATCAGGAAAACAGTCAGTTCAAATCAATTTAGCAGCACATTAAATGTGACTTGTGTTCTTTTCATTTTTTTCTGATGGCATTGGGTTAGGGATAACCCTAACCCTAGGGTTAACCCTAACCTATCAGAGTCAGCATTCCAGCCTGACCCCTCTCTCTTGTTGTATCACCGTCTCTTTTAGGAGCAAGGCAAAGTGGGCGTGACTTTCAACATTGGGACAGTGGACATCAGCGTCAAAGAATTAACCACGATGGTAAACGATGGCAATTACCATCTGGTCCGATTCACCAGGAATGGGGGCAACGCCACCCTGCAGGTGGACAACTGGCCGGTCAATGAGCACTTTCCATCAGGTACTGCCAACAACGTTTTTAATTTATCTGTAGAGTTATTTCATAACATGAATGAAGTAGAAAATACTGTTGACGCACTGGACACCATCTGTTTCTTTGTTCAAAGGGCATTCTTAAAACGGGGGTAAAAAACATGGTCACTCAAAAACAATTAGCAACGCAAGCAAGCTAGTTTTGACTCTTTTACCTCGGCCAACTACAACTCCAATTACACCGTCACACAAGAAATTCTTTGTCTTGCAGGAAGCTTTAAGGGAGCAACATCTGGTCAGTTCATTTGAGGGAAAAACAGGATTCACCAAGAGGAATTTGGTCCGTATAAAGAACAGGGAGAGGATGGAGGAGGAAGCCAAGGGTGGCCTGTTGGCCAGATAAAGCTGCTGCCTTCCTGTATCTCTCATTCCCAGGTCAGCAGAAGCAGCACGGTAGCAGAATACAAATAGGTTCATCAAATAGTACGCGCTCCAATTGGAGTCTCGGGCACTCTCCTTTGGAGCAAACATGTGCTCCTGAGCTAGGAAGGTGAGAGTCAGAAAAAGGGGAAAGGTAGGGAAAAAATCCTTTCCTGCTTCTATCTGACTCTATTAAATGAAGCTGGGCCTCCTTAAGTTTAATATCAGTGTGTTCGAGAATCCACGCCGTTTCCTTTTTTTCCTCCCTTCAATTTCACTTAGTCAAACAGATGAGACGCGTGGGGAAACAATACGGGCAAAAGCACCATTTAGGCAAAACGAGGGGATGACACGAGACACCATGAACTCCACAGATCTGAGGAATAAAAAAAATACAGCTTAGAGAAGAAACTGGTCAACAGAAGTGAAGAAGACAAAGGCTATGCAAGCCTTATAGAAGAAACTAAGTCCAACTGAAGCTATCTGGTCATAATTAGAGTTGACCTCTTTGACCCCACAGAGTGCTCCTGGTTATACCTTCAGTAACATCAGGGCAGCTTTCTTCCCTGGCATGTTTCTTGGTTTGGTTCCATGCCGCTGTAGCTGATGTTAATTCCCTCTGTCTCTGGCTTTCTTTTGCCTTTGGCTGTTGTTTGTTTCCCATTGACCAGACGACGTTAGATGGGTTTCGTAACTATATTCTAGCCACTGCAGAGCTACAAAACTACAGAGTTTGAGTTCAAAACTGGATACAACTTTGATTTATCAGTTGTCCAAAAAGTTTTAAAAGTCATGTCTGTTTCTTCAACTTCTACACATCCCGCATCAACATTAATATTAATACTCTGGTAACCAGCATGTACCCCGTGTCCCCCAGAGACTTTTACAACCCTAAGATCCCCATGACCCTCACAGGAAGACACTGTCCAGACTAAAATAACGAATCAAGGGTCAGATGGACAAGATTTGTATGATTTGAAATGTTGTTCTTCAACACTTGGTGACATGTGATTCAAAGACTTACTTTTACCTTGTTTATTCACTAAATTACTAATGCTCAGCTTTGGCTCACACTAAAAGAGAATATTACTGAGACAGTAGCTGCGCAACTATCACCTCAGATGTGCACCTGAGACGATTCTATCATACATGATGAGGATTAAAATATCAATAACATGTTTTAAAAGATGCAGAACAGCATAACTCCATGGATAAATACCGTTTTTGTGATAAAATAATTTCTTTCAGGGCAGAAAGTTTCAACACAAATAACCCAGATAAGCATGATAAACCACTGATTGTACTAAATGTTTTGTACAGTGGTGAGGCAATATTTATAGCGACTAATGTTTCTTTCACGTCAGCAGATTTATTCCAGGTATTTGGTGAATGAAAGGGCGCGTGCGAAATTCAGGCCTTGTCCATGCTACTATGGAAATATTGAATAAAGGCTTTCTGCTCTATTTTCACCTTCTGTTCACACTGGTGAGAGAAAAGCTTTTATAAGCTCACAAGCAAAGGTTTTTGGTATGTAGTTGGTGTAGATGTGCCTCTAAGGGGTGTTTTTATTAGAATATGTGGGCAGACACAGAGAAATCGAAGTGGTGTAGAAAGAGCCTCAGATGATAAGTTTCACTTAAACAGTTGAAGAAATAATTGATTATGTATCTTATCAAAACCATCAACAATATAGACCAAGAGGCTAACATTTTTCGGGAAAATGTCTAGTTTGTTTACAGAGGCGGGGCTTCAAACCAGCCTCTGGGGGTGCACTCATCTGATATGGCTTCAATTTATGGTTCCTGATAGAGCAATAACATACATCCCTGTTTTAAATGATAAGAAGACACTAAAGGCACATTTATGGGAGGGTTGTGAACAGTTATTACATTGTTATTATAGATATGCTTCAGTTTAGAGAAATAGTTACTAGTTCTGACTGGCTAGATGTGCTTATGGCTAGTCATAGTGAAGGTGTAGACTGTGACGCCAGATGATGTTTCTTCTTTTGTGTCTTCTGGACATCCTGTGTTGATGTCCTCAGGACGTTCAGTTATGAGCTAATTCTGGTCCAAATGAGTCCACTTTGGACGTCTTTCTTATGTCACCCAAACACATTGCAGCGGTGTGCAAAAGGCTTAAAAACGCTGTTAATCAGTGATGTGGGGGAATGCTAACGTTATTGTAGCAAAGGTTTTTTAGCTTACACTATGAAAAGAGAGCTACCAAAACAGCAGATTCGATGATCCAACCTCACAAGCTTAACAGAATCAAAGAGAGTAGGAAGCGATGCCACCATCAGCGTCAGCTCTGAGGAAGTTTGCAGCCGCAGACGAAACTGTCAGCAAGCAAGGTAAAAAGAAACCTTTTTAGTGTTGTAAAAAAGAACCAAAAATGGAATTAGAAATCAGACACAGCAAGAACGTACCAAAGAAGCTTAACAGAAGTTAACATAACATGAAGTGACTTGAACAAACTTACCTTCAACCTAGTTCTAAGTTCTAACTTAGAAAATCCTTCTTCATCTTTGAGATTTTAAGGCGGTTGTCAAATAATGTGAGGTGCATTACCGCCACCAACTTGTAAGAATTGTGAATCAGTAGTCTCTGGATGGATGGATGGATGGATGGATGGATGGATGGATGGATGGATGGATGGATGGATGGATGGATGGATGGATGGATGGATAGATAGATGATAGAGGATGGATGGATGGATGGATTTATGGATGGATGGATGGATGGATAGATAGATGATAGAGGATGGATGGATGGATGGATAGATGATAGAGGATGGATGGATGGATGGATGGATAGATGGATAATCATGTTTTATATCTATTTCAAATTAATGAAAGCAGAAAATGTGTTTAATAGCCCAGCAACAATAGTTTTAAATAACTTCCTGCAACTGTGTTAGACGTGCCCATGGCGTCCAAAAGAATTGCCCTGCCCGAGATACAAATGTCCAAGTTGGGTCATCAATAAATGTCCAAATGCTGGACCTGGTTTCCATGCCCTATAGAATTCCAGAATTGGCTTTGGACTGATGGAGGCAATATAAACATGATCCGTGAATTGGTATTATGTAGAAAGAACGTCCATAATGACTTCATTTGGACCAGAATTAGCCCATATCTAGAGGTCCTGAAGATGTCAAAGAATGTTACAAAAAAGACGTCATCTGGAATCATATTCTGCACCTTCAGGGGACCAAAACTAGGGATGGACAATATATCGGCATTAATATCGGTATCGGCCAATGTTAGTCATTTTTTTATATATGGGTATCGGTTTGATAAAGAAAACTGGGCTGATATTAACAACAGGTATTTTTTCCATTTGTTTGCCTGTTTCAGAGGGTGAGGGGGTGATGTGTACTTGTTTAGTCATGTGAACAGTGAATGAAATCATGTCAGAACCATAAATGTATGTGGTGTGTGTACATAATAACGTACATTCAGCTTTAATATTGTCATTCTATACAAAATCTGCTGATTTTAGAGGTCAGGATATCAATATCTGCAAATAGCGGTTATCGGCCATAACAGTGATCTTAATATCGGTATCGGCCCCAAAAAATCATATCGGTGCATCACTTACCAAAACTGGACGTGCAAAAGTGACCTGGAAAAGGCGTCACTGTGTTGTGTCTTCGAGCAGAGTGCAAAAATATTTTTATATAATTTTGTGCACCTGTGTTAGACAGGCCCATGATGTCCAAGTGGCCCAACCCAAGGAATGACCATGTAATGTAAAGCTAATGGTGACGGCCCTACCAAGACTAGCTGTTAGCTTATCAGTCTGATCCAAAACAGAGCAAATTCTCTGTACATTGAGGCTTTGTATCTGATCTAAAAGAGGATTGTTAAATTTTCATAACCTTTTCCACAAATCACCACTTCAATTACTTTAAACTGTTCTCTGATGTAAACATCAACCTCTACAAATATGAGTGTTCTATTAATCTTGGGAAGATAAATGACGTTCTCCCTGGAGGTTTAAATGACAAAAATACATCATTTGTGGTATTTTTATGTATAAATAAGACTTTTCTTATTCATCCGTACAACATTTCCACACTTATCTTGTTGAGGAACGTTTCCATCTGCCTTTTACATGTGTGTGTGGGCGTTGGATTTGTGAGTGTGATTCCTTTGTCCCTTCCTCTTCCTCTAATGATTCTCCCCCTCTGACAGTGCCCTCTCAGATCTCCATTCTTTTCTGTCCTCAAATTCCTTCTTATCCATGTTCCTCCTCCTCCTACTTTTCTTCTTCTTGCAGTTGCAGCTCATCACGGCTTTGCATCTCACCCACAGTCCTGTATACTTGTGTGACAAGCCACATTACTGCAGGGGCTAGCCTTTTGTTTTAGTGAGAGGGCTCCAATTTCCTTATATAACACTCTGAATGTCTGCACACTTTGATTACACGATGTCTTCCATGTGAGTTTGAATCTCTGAATCAAAGAATGACGAGACCAAGCCAGGCAGAAACTGCGCATCGCCCTTCGCCCTGAGCTGGCTGTGGTTCAGCCGTTGTCTCAGATGAATGGCCATTAGCTTAACGACTCTGTTTGTGCCTGAAGGGAAGGTAGGCCTGTGTGTGT